TCTGTTCCTTTTTCCCTTTCCTCCCTTCACTTTCCATATTTATTTTTTCCTTTTATCATTCCTTCCTTCCCTCTGTCTTTATTATTGTTTTCCTTCCTGTTTCCTTTCCTTCTTTCGTGCTTTTTGTGTTGTTTCCTTTTGTTCTTCCTGTTTCCATTCCTTTCTTCCTTCCTCTTCCCTTCTTTTTCATTTGTCATTCCTTCCTGTTTCCTGTCATTTTTTGTTTCCTTTTGTTCCTTCTTTCTAAGCTTCAGAAATCACAGGAATGCAATATCACGACTCTTAAAGTGTGGATGAATGATGGATCGTTTTTGTAATCATGATTTCACGTCGTGTGCTAGTTAATGTGACGAGTCTCATGGTGATGTTTAACTCAATCAAGTCTTTATGGTTTCATTTGGACACGGACGGTATTTTTAAGCCTCTTTCTCCATCTCTCTCTTTCTGTGCTGTCAGTGAGCCATTCTGTTGAGGGTTTCAGATGGAGACTGTGGTTCTTTACGCAGTGCGGTTTGATATCTAACGTCATTTTCACACCTCCTGCTCCAGGCTGTTGTTCAAATCAAATTATTCTACAAATGCAAGATAAGATGAGATGGTTGGGTAAAAAATGAAAATAAAAATTAAAGATTTAAACAGCACTATGGCTTGCTGTTAGCACCCAATATTTTAAAGGTACTGTGTATGTAATATATATATCTATATGTGACTGAAAATAAACTCCTTTGACCTTGAAATTAAATGTCATCTTTTCTTGAATTTGCATGCCTTAAGTATTAATGAATTTCAAGACCTAGACATGTGGGTGACTGGTATATATATATATATATATATATATATATTGTTGACAACATGTCTACTTCATATTAAAATGTATATGAATGTGACAAGGGAAAGTGTATATCTTCGGCACTGTAACTGGTTTCTATGTGGTATTTTAAATGACCTTTTTGACATCAGAAGTTCAATTTAAATGTGCATATGGTGTTACAAATTAACTTTAAAAAAGTATGAATATTCATATAGATTCTCAATTAATATAAGGTCATAAGCACGGCATGCACAATAATTGCATTAACAGCAAGATGCTGCTTAAATTCATATTTCAGTATACCGTAGCATATTCATGCCACATGACCCCAAATTTCCTGGTATTTAATGTCAACTAATAAATTAACTAAAAATATGCTTAAATGATTCATAATTAGCATAGATTTATAATACAGACACAAATATGAAAGATAGGGAATTCTTGGCCGTTTTAATCACAGCTGATCACCTATGGAGTCTTTCTTAGAATTTCTCAAGCTTGCACAGTTCCTACGCCAGATGACCTGAACACTGATATTTAGTTTTTTCTTAGAAAAACCTTAATTAAGTTGTTCAGGGGCCTGTTTCATAAAACAAGTTTACCAAATAAGCCAGGTTTATTTCAGTTAGTCTTGACTTATTGTCAGTTGATTTGGTTCAAAATAAGTCAGACTAACTGAAATAAGCCTGGCTTATTTGGTAAACTTGTTTTATGAAACAGGCCTCAGTTAAACATATATTTGTTTTTCTCTGTTTTTGAAGACGTGTCATCTTGTGTCTCTGTTTTCCTCTTTTGAAGTTGTTTGGGTACAATCGTTAATGGGCTAATTGATGTGAGTTTGGCTAATTAGAGAAGACAGGTGATGCAGGTTACAGAGAAGCGTTTATAAACCCTCAGTTTGGAGCCATTTAATCAAAGAGAAAGGTTTTCTTGTGTGTGTAAGCGAGAACTAGTTCTTGAAGGACTGTGTTTGATAGGCAAGATTATGTGTTGAGAAAGGGGTTTTCTTTCAATTCAAAGCAAAGAGGGAGAGAAAGTTTCATCTTGGTTTTTTTTTTTGTGTGTGTGATTTTTGTTTTCTGAGAATGCCAGATTTCGAAGGAGAGCTGCTTTTAGGTTTTATTTTTGAGGTCTGTGCTTTCGGCCCTTCGCAAACCTGCACTTTAAGAGTCCACAGCTGAGCAAACTCCTGAATGTGGATTAATCCTTCAACACACAGGGATACTTGACTATGATATTTGACTTTATTAATACTCTAATACTATTACTACTTGCCTTCTGAGCCAAACATTTTAATATGGCACAAGCTTAGCTTTCCTAGTTTCATGAGAAGTTGTATTTGTTTGTGAGGGTGAAATGTGAGAAGTCCAAATTTCCCAGATAAGTTAAATTAAAGTTGGTGGGTTTATTTATTTTGACATGACATACAATTTGTTGAAGACAGAAGTTGCTGTTGTGTAGAGTAAAAACTAATGGAAGCCATGATGTACAATTCAAGAGCAAATTGTCCTTTCGAGTTCAACCTTTCAATGAGACAGACTGGTTCACAAATCATTCTGAATGATTCATCACTGAGTTTATTATTTAAATCCTTCTCGTGTATTAGAAAATGATTGGAAAAAAGAGTGGAAAGGTTTCAAGCTAAACATTTCAAAAGGTTTAAAAAGATTTTGAATGATAAACCCATTCTGCTTGAGCACCTGTGTGAACTTGAGTTGAATCCACTATAATTACTTTGACACTCAGGTGATTAAAAGTAACTGCAAAAATTGGTTTTGAGAACAACTCCGCATTTGTTTGCAGAAGCACCTTGGTTTGATATTTTCAGACATTATAGTGGTTACGTGACTGAGTAGCTATTAGGACCAGTGTACAGTTCTTATTATATTCAACTCTCTCACACACACTCTCGAGTGTATTTATCATCTTCATAGCTCTGCTGCCTACAGTGGTCTTCCATCTCATTTGGTTTAGTTCTATAAAATGGAGCAAAACCCAAATCGCCAACAAAAGACGATCCTGCATAAGAAGCACTCTATTATCTGTGCTTCTCTCCAGCTTCCAGAGGTTTGTATTCTTCAGCTCAAGCTTGGCGTGAAAATATTCCTGGATCCTGCTCGTTTCTGTCATCGGTAGCTCAGAAAGGAATTTGCAGGCTGCGTTTACTTTGTCCGGCTGCTTTAAGCCTATTATTCAGTGAAGAAAGGTGCGGAGTGTGAGCCAGACTGTTGTGGGATGGAGAGCGCAGGCCCCCCGATGGCTCTTCTAATAGGTTCAGTCTGAAATACACTAGACGGAGCTTTAAGTCCGAACACACCATTATACTGGGTGAGATGAGAAGAATGTTAATTCCCAGAGTGCACCGGGGCAGCACTAGAGGTCTATGGCAAAGTTAAAGGATTAGTTCATAAGAACACCAAAAAATTAAAATTCTCATTTAATCAGCCTCATGCCATTCCAAAGCTGTGTTGCTATCATTAACTAAAAACATAAAAAATAGTTGTGGTAAATTAAAAAAAAATTACCATGATTTCAGATGGATCATGTGACACTGAAGACTGGACTTTAAAAATGCTGATAAAAATTCACCTTTGCCATCACAGGAATCAATTAAATTTAATATAAAACAGTTATTTTAAACTGAAATAATATTTCATAAATATTAGATGAAAAATTACAATGTTTCCTATGTACAAATACTTAAATTGCTAAAACTGAAATAAAAATAAAGCTAAATAGAAATTTTAAAATAGAAAAAAAACAAAATACTTAGAATATAAATCTAAAATATATATATATATATATATATATATATATATTTTTTTTTTTGTGCAACAGTAAAAACCCTTTAGAAAGATATTACAGCTGCACTTGTCATTGGTGCTTGTGTTTTGTGACTATGTGCAAAGCAAATGAGATTTGATAGCTGTGGCAGAGGAAGTGTTAATTTGTGAAAAATGACTTGGAATATAGTCAAATTTAACACTTTTATCATGCTTTACTTTTTTGAGTTCTGCGGGTCATGCAGGTTTGGAAATGATGCTCCAATTTATTCTTGCAACTTTTAGTGAGAGATTGCAACACAATGTTGGGAAATGTTCCTAAATGAACATCCACACCTGCACATACATGCACAAATGCATTACAGTGAGAAAAGCATATGAAAGCCCACCCAGATACAGAATGGGCCAATATTCCCATGATTTTGTTGCATTTTGCATCATGCTGTGTGTTTTGGTGCATTTTTAACTATTGGACACAGCTTTAAATCACAAACAGTTTTTTTAGGACATTGACTTTAGTTAATGGACAATGTCCAGAATTTGTTTGGGAGGCTGTTATCTTATTAATGTTCATTTTGTAGTTGTAGAGATATCAGACCACCCACAGATTTCATGTGTGGCCGAGTCGAGCGACTGATACAATGACACAAGAAAATGTAAGTTTAATTGAGGTCACATAATTTAATTTCCTTGCATTTCACTGAATGCATCAAGCTACAGTAGAAGCATGAACAGCTGCGACAAGGCAAATGACCCCACATGATCCGAGAGATGAACAAACCCCATCTCAAGTCTTCATTTTAACAGACTTCCTCCTGTTTAGCACCACTGAAAGCAAATGATGTGCGACATGCACAAATGACAAAGACAGGCTGAGCGTTTGCCCTGTTTTCACAAGTATGTATAGGTCTCCTTGTCTACTTGGTTTTGGTCATGTGGGGAACGCTGTGGCACTGCAAAAAAATCAGATTCTCCATCAATATTTTGGTCTTTTTCCTTACTAAAAACACCTTAAATTTGAGTCATAATATGAAAAAAAAAAACCTTTTAGAGAGTTTATATATATACAGTATATATATATATTTACCCCATTGACCAATTTTTTCTTTTTATTGTTTTAAGCAAAACCCGCCCTAAGCTGTTAGATTTATGCTAAAAAAATATTATTTTTAATACTGATGAACAGTGATAAATTATGCAAAAAAGCAACAGGGAAGACTGATATTGAAAAATTTGCCACATCTCATATCGTACCATACTGAAAAACAACATAGCAACTCATATGCTTTAAGTGCAAGGAAAAGCCTTGATATAAAATGTATACGTAACACATTGACAATTCTCAGTTTAAATATCAGTATTTTTAAGCAAAACCCGCCCTAAGCTGTTAGATTTATGCTAAAAAAATATTATTTTTAATACTGATGAACAGTGATAAATTATGCAAAAAAGCAACAGGGAAGACTGATATTGAAAAATTTGCCACATCTCATATCGTACCATACTGAAAAACAACATAGCAACTCATATGCTTTAAGTGCAAGGAAAAGCCTTGATATAAAATGTATACATAACACATTGACAATTCTCAGTTTAAATATCAGTACGTACATTAAACATTAATTTGCATTTATACAGACATTTGTTTTTCGTTGTGGAATATTACTTTATATACACAAGAGGATACATGACAGCTCAAGGACACATTTGGTTGGATCACAAGAAGAAATACGAGTGACATTCGTGCTTCTGTCATCCTTCAGGAGTTTCCAATCATCTAAACCTCAATGCTCATTCGTGTAATTAATTCACTCTGTCACATTCAACCACAATCATCAAGAGTTCCTCTTACCATTCACTCTCAGGTCATTATTTAGAGTCAGAATCACCTTCTTTTCGGTTTGACAATCATCTCACCTTAACATCCAAGCTGCATCGTCCCATCACCCCTTTTAATGATCCAACTGGTTCAATCCAACAACTGGTCCACATTCAGTTCTGAAAATTTTGGCTCAATGGGCTTCGCTCAGCCGTGTCGAACCTTTGCACCAAACGTGCAAAGATGCCGTGAAGGTTGATTTAGTCACGTTCTGTCTGAACACAAGCCTATACAATGTTAACACGACTGGTCATTGAGAAATGTTAATGGTAGACTGTTAACGGCTCACTGGATCCAGATGGTGTTGGCTCTGTCGGGCCGTCGCGGGTCTGCGGTCAGGTCTCCGAAGGTGGAAAAGAACTGCTCCATCTCTTTCTGCAACATCTCGTTTCTCTTTTCCGCATCGTCCTTGGCTCGCTCTGCGTTTCTCAGCTTAATCTCCACCATGGTGTATTTCTTCTTCTCCTGGTCAAGCTCTTCGTGTAAATTTGCCATCACCGTCTCCAACTCTAGATTCCGAAGTTCCAGACTATAGGGAAGATGGGAAAAGTTGGGTAAATACACCTTTTAATACTGTGATAGTTGATGAAATATGATAGTTTAATGAGACACTTAAAGGGTGATTTAGGTAAAAGTTAATTCTATCGTGGAGCACCAAAAATAAATAAATACATAAAAATAAAAAAAACAACAAACACTATAAATCTTGCAATATTTTATAAAGTCGTACGATCATTTTGAGGAACAGAGAAATTCAGACATTTAATCACAGAAAAACTTCTGGTCTGGTTTTTCATTTATTTAAAATAAGTAAATATTTTTTATTTTATTAAAAGTATTTTTTTCAGTTTAATAAAAATAAGTCATTTTTATTTTATTTTATTTTATTCAAAAGTATTTTTCCCCATTTTATTAAACATAACTAAATATTCTCTTCATTACATTAAAAATAAGTAAATATTTGTAATTTTATTAAAATAAGTAAAAAATATTTTGTTCATTTTATTAAAAAACAAATAAATAAATAATCAAATATATATTTATATTATTTTTTGTAATTACATTTTTTATTTATTAAATTGTTTTATTTATTTTAACATTTATTTTTTTCTTTTCTTGTTTTAAACAAAAACCTCTTTACATTGCTAGGTTAATTATTTTATTGCTGATGAAGAAAATTGATGAAAAAATTGGTGAAAAATTAAAATTTTTGCAGCGATAAATTATCCAAAAAAGCAACAGGGAAGACAGAACAATACTCAAATGTTTGCCACATCTCATATTTATACCATACTGAGTGTGTGTTCATGTCAATTATTTCTTTGTTTGTTTTTGTTTCATTTATTTATTTATCTTGTTGGTATTTTTCTCCTTTCATTTCCCTATAAATTACATACAGTAAATGCAAACTGATTTGTTGTGGGAAGGAATGCGGGTAGCAAACAATCAGGGCGAAAACTGACATGAGATTTTCATGTTTTATTTTTTACTAATTTTTAATGTCACTAAAACGGTGAATAAACATAATTAGTTTGTGTGCTCTGAAAAGTTTACTTTTTGGTTGAACATGACTCTTACCTCTTAATCCTGGCCTCGTATTCATTCTTCTGCTTGAGCATTTCCTGTTTGAGACTGGCAACCAGGCTATGCAGTGCACTGTGATTGGTCGGTCCAATTGTGACGGCAAACGTTTCGCTGTTATCGCTGCTGCTGTTTCCTCTGCTTCCCGGGCCTCCTCCGTTACTGGTCCGCTGCTCCCTATCATCCACCACCGGTCCGTTGTCCTCCTGTACTGGCCCATCCAACAAAGGATCCTCAAAGTTGTTGCCAAAGAAGTCCTGCTCTGGGCACGTGGTTGTGGAGGAGCGGCAAGAAGTCGAGTTTCTGGGTAGGGAGATCTCGCAAGACGAGGTGGACCATGTGGCGCTATCCACGCTCTGTTTGTCCTCACAGCTGCTGCTCAGACTGAGCTGTGTGGTCTGCTGTTGATGTATGTGGACGTTGTCGTACGTGGACAGGCGGTTCTGCTGGTGCTCGGCGTCTCGACTTTTAGCCTCGCGCATCGTGACATGACCGTTGGGCACCCAGAGTCCATTCCGTCCATTTAGAGTCCCATTCGTCACGTCCGTGCTGGATACGCCCATCCGAACGATGCCATTCTGGACACCCATTTTGGTGCCCGAGCCTTTTATCGCACTCGTCCGACGGGCATGAAGGGTTCCCATGTTTGGAAGAGCCTGACTTTTCTCCAGATTGGCGTCAACTGGGGATGACGAGCTGAACGATCCGTTGGTGACAATCCCGCTCCCTTTGCTAAACGCTGGGTTCTTTTTCACTGCTAGTGGCGGACTGCGGGCCACCTCGAAATGCTGTCCTGTAAAACTATTACGTGGGCTGCCCGAACGGGGAGAGCCGTTGTCCAGAGGAGCCCGGCTGGGTGATTCGGGTGCGTCCCAAGTGCACTGTCGCACACCACTGGTGTTATTGTTCTCTTTGTTTTGTAGCTGGCCATTCGTAGGCCGTTTCTGCGTCTCATTATTGTTATTATTAACCAGTTCCAGGGTGCTAGTATGGTCCTCATCAGGTGGGAAAAGAACATCATGCTGACCAATCAGAACGGCCATCAGCTGCTGGACCAGTACTGTGCCTGCACACGACCAACAGATCACTCAAACACTGAAAATAATCATGATTCAAAGATTTCTGGAGTCAGAGATATGGACAAGACCTACCTTCCATTATAGTCACTGGGTCCTCAAACTTTGGCCTCAGAATATTTGGCCCAAAGACTGTAGCCAGGTTCTGTACACTCATTTTATTCACACCTGAGTAGGACTGAACTTCATCCAAAAATCTGGACAAGAAAGAAGGGTCAACCTTACAACTGAGATTTCTGAAACTGTATGTACAAAGTTGAATGTGTAGAGAAAAAATGTAATAGTAATTGAAAATCAAGTGGTGGGCCTATTTATTTATTTATAAATGGTACTTGATCGTTGCAAACAACAAAATTCACAACAAATGAATGAGAAACATGAGACCTTTGCAAAAAACGTGAGTTGTCAAAACTGTAAAATTAATATTATGCTATTAAAATAACACAAAAGTAATTTAACATAAGATCACAAGCAAGTTTTTTTTTCAAAGAAAGCCACTTATTTCATTCCTGAATTCATCAGAATGAATCGACTGAGTGAACAGACTCAATGACTCACTCAAAGACAGTCACGTTTTTCATTCCCAAATGAATCAGTGTTTTTGAATGAATTGATTGAATGGATTGATTCAGGGACTCACTTACAGACAGTCGCTTATTTCGTTCCTGAATGCATCAGTGTTTTTGAATGAATCAACTGAGTGAATTGACTCAGTGACTCCCTCAAAGACAGTCACTTTCTTTGTTCCTGATTGCATCAGGGTTTTTGAATGAATCAATTGAGTTAATTGACTCAGTGACTCACTGTAACCTGAGTCACTGAACAAATCCCACCAATACTGCACAGAACGTGATAAGCCACAACTGAATGGAATAGAATACAAAATCACCTACTTGCATATGTATTTAAGCAGATTGTAGTTTACCGTAGGTAGACCTTCTACTTGCCTTCTTAATTCCTTCATTCCCTGCATAGAAAGAGATAAAAAAAAAAATCAACTAAATACACATCTAGGATAAAAAGAAATACAAATGTATGCATTTGTTTAAACTGATTATAGTAATTCAGTTTGAAATGATCTGGACTAATATACATGATTAAAAGACGTATCGAATCAAAAGACAATTAATCCTGTCCCATTGCTTTTAAAAGTCTGTTGAACTTTTCCAAATTGACTTTAAATATTCATATTGCAATTTATTTAGTTATTACTACGCTATTCGTCTAGGCATGGGTCAGTGAGTTTAACAATTGATGACGGTCTAGATTTAATGATGCGCTCTATTCCAGATCTGTTTTTATCATGGTCGATATGTCTTTTCCCTGCAGGCTCTCTCTGATGAAAATGACTTTGCTACACCACATGAGAAAGCTATTTCTCAAAAACAAATGGATCTAGTAAAGCCTCCTGCTTCATTTGACATGGTACCACGATTCTTTGCATGTACCGCACTCAAGGGACTCTCAAAGGTACGGATCTCGTTCAAAACCTCGGGGCAGTAAATTAAATTCAGTGTTGCAAGACATAGTCTTGCACTTTGATTCTATCCTGAAACGATTAAAAAACTGCTGGCTGGACGCACCGGTGTTTCACACGAGGTAAAAGTTTAACTTGAAAGTCAGAATGAGGCTGTTTCCGTTCCTCAGGGTCAACCCGTTCTTCCTCAGGCTCAGCGAAAGTAAAGAACTGATGTACGTGAGATGAAAGACGACTGCAGTAGAATAATGAGATGAGTCATATGCCATTGTCTCAGCCTTCTGGTGGGAACCGAACTCAAACAAAAAGTAAGAAATAGCAAGAGGAGGGGAGCCAAAAAGTTCAACAATATTTTGAGTCTACAGTGAGGCTCATTACATAAAAAAACAACATACTTTACTTTTATTCAGTCTGTTAACTTTAGGAATGGTGTAGCTTAGTTAAAGATCTGGATGTTAAAACAAGTGCTGTAAAATACTAAATGACAAACAACAACAGAACCAGAGCTACAGTCCCTTAGGTTCAGGCCTAATATGCCTCATTTTATTTTACACTCTTAAAAATAAAGGTGCTTCAAAAGGTTCTTCAAGCGATGCCATAGAAGAACCATTTTTGGTTCCACAAAGAACCATTCAGTCAAAGGTTCTTTAAAGAACCATCTCTTTCTTACCTTTTTGTAATCTGAAGAACCTTCTTTCACCACAAAGAACCTTTTGTGAAACAGAAAGGTTCTTCAGATGTTAAAGGTTCTTTATGGAACCATTTAGACAAAAAGGTTCTTCTATGGCATCGTGAAGCACCTTTATTTTTAAGAGTGTAGTATCCCTCTTTAAACAGTGAACTTTATGTAAACTTGAGAAACTTAGTTCATCTGTTCATCAGGATTGAATTTGAAAGAAATAAATACTTTATATATTCAGCAACGGCACATTCAATTGATCAAAAGTGACAAAATTATAATGTTACAAAAATATTTCTTCTTCAAATAAATGCTATACCTTTGAACGTTCTATTAATCAAAGTATCCTGATTTAGACAAAAAGGTTCTTCTATGGCATCGTGAAGCACCTTTATTTTTAAGAGTGTAGTATCCCTCTTTAAACAGTGAACTTTATGTAAACTTGAGAAACTTAGTTCATCTGTTCATCAGGATTGAATTTGAAAGAAATAAATACTTTATATATTCAGCAACGGCACATTCAATTGATCAAAAGTGACAATATTATAATGTTACAAAAAGATTTCTTCTTCAAATAAATGCTATACCTTTGAACGTTCTATTAATCAAAGTATCCTGAAAAAAAAAAATCACTTTTTGCACAAAAATATTAAGCAGCTCAACTGTTTTCAACATTGATATTAATACGATTTTTTTTTTTGAGCTGCAAATCAGCATAATAGAATGATTTCTGAAGGATCATGTGACAACGGAGACTGGAGTAATGATGCTGAAAATTCAGCTTTGCATCACAGGAATAAATTACATTTTTAAATATATTCAAATAGAAAATAGATATTTTAAATTGTAATAATATTTCACAATATTACTGTTTTTACTGCATTTTTGATTAAATAAATGCATGCTTGATGAGCATAAGAATCCTCTTTCACCACCATTAAAAAATTTATTAATTACCCACCCCAAACATCTGAATTGTAGCATATATATATATGTGACCCTGGAGCACAAAACCAGTCTTAAGTCGCTTGGGTATATTTGTAGCAATAGCCAAAAAAACATTGTATGGGTCAAAATGATTGATTTTTCTTTTATGCCAAAAATCATTAGGATATTAAGTAAAGATCATGTTCCATGAAGATATTTTGTAAATTTCCTACCGTAAATATAACGAAACTTAATTTTTGATTAGTAATATGCTTTGCTAAGACCTTCATTTGGACAACTTTAAAGGCGATTTTCTCAGTATTTAAATTTTTTTGCACCCTCAGATTCCAGATTTTCAAATAGTTGCATCTCGGCCAAATATAGTCCTAAACAAACCATACATCAATGAAAAGCTTATTTATTCAGCTTTCAGATGATGTATAAATATCAATTAAAAAAAATTTACCCTTATGACTGGTTTTGTGGTCCAGAGTCACATATGGTAACTTCCATTATTAATGACACAAACATTTGAAGAAAACTACTGCACCCTTGAGTAATAAGACATGCTACCGCCACAAGTATATAGAACAGGACTGTATGCTTGCAATGTGATGCTCAACAAGAGACAACTCACTGCATCCAGGTCTTTACTGAGGAGTTTGGTGCAGGCCAGAAACTCTTCGTATTTACAGAACGGGATGACCGGCTCAGGCAGCTCTCTTAAATACAGCTTCAACAATGATGCCACGGTGTGAACGTCTGTGTTACTGCAGAGAAAGATGGAAAGAATAGGCATATTAATATAAAAAAAATCATAAATGCCTCAAAGAATGAAAAGCTAGAAGCATAAAGTATGTACAAACAGTGTAGGACCCTTTAAATGACAGATTGTGGGCATCCCTGTGTCAGTATCCCAGTGGATCTAATGATGAGTAACAGAAAGCTGGTACTAAATCAAAGAAAGCACTAGCTCGTCACTGATCAGTCCGGTAACGGCCCCATAGAAGACCTGGGCTTGTGACAATCCCGTAACAAGCTGGATTTATTGACACTTCCCGGGTGGGCTGGACAGGAATAGCAGGCATGTGTATAGTGTAACCGTCAAATGCATATGCTGTGTATTGACCCTTTATAATTATCACCTTGCTTCAGACACCAGTAAGTTCTAAATATGAACAGTGTTGAACATGCAGTATGCTTTCCCTGACGTGTCTCTTCCCGACAACGTGATCGTGGAGCTCTGACAGCCATCGCTAAAATAACAGACTGTAAATAAACTGGGAAGCATCTGCTGCTGTTATCTGCAGCGTTTGGTATTATGGAAGTGCAGAGAAAGCTTTTTCAGAGAGAGAAAGTATCCAGCGTCTACATTTGTAATGTGAAGGGACATTAGCTTAAAATTAACATTTTTTCATTTTCATGCGAATTATGGATAATATTTACTAAATGGTAAATGGGTCATTTGTGAAACTCCACAGAGAGAAGCATGAATTTGGAAAAACAAAATCGGGTGAAGATTTCAAGTTTAAATTCTGCTTCATTGTAATGTCAGACATCTGAGAAGAAAGCAAATCTATTTTTATCAAAAGATGGCACACTTATGGGTTTTAATATAAAGTGAAAGTATGTCGAACAAGCTTCATAGGCTCTAAACAAAGCTGTCAACAGCATCTTTTTGCCTTGATTCGTCACTGAAGCCAGAGTAAACTTGGATTTAATGAGGACTCATTTTGGGCAGTATATGGTACTTCTATGCTAGATGTCATTTACATTTATGCATTTAGTAGAAGAGTTTATCTAAAGCGACTTACACTGCATTCAAGTTACACACTACCATTCAAAGATTGCAGTCTGTAAGATTTTTAATATGTGGCCTTAATATTGTGTAAACTATGATTGATTTCTTTTCAGGATTATTTGATGAATATAAAGTTCAAAAGAACAGCATTTATTTGAAACAGAAATCTTTTGTAACATTTCTAAGCATCTTTACTGCCACATATGATCAATTTATGCATCCTTGACCCTAAACTTCTGAATTGTAGTGTATCAGTTCATATACATTCCCTTGCAATCAAACCCGTGACCTTAGTGTTGCTAGCGTCACACTTTACTGTTTGAGCTACAGGAATCTCCGGCATTTTGGTTAACAGCTTCATCAGAAAGACCTTGATGGTTAAAATGAGACCAGCAACAAACCAGCACATGGAAAGATCTAAGATGTTTTTTTCAGCAGAGGAATGAAAGATTACAGCATTCCGTGCATTTTAGCTCCCAGCCCACCTATTTACAACCAAATCCTCATTCAAATCCTCCATGACTATTGTATTTATATTTCTCAATGTGAATGTTCCTGAGACAAAGAAACACACTGGAGAGAGATAAGGAATGCAAGAGAGATAATACAGAAAATCTGGACTAATCTGAATGAGATTATTTAGAAGATTTAAAGTCTTGCAGAATCCTTTCATATTCATAACAGAGACTGTAAGTGCATTTAGCAAGTGCAAGTACCAATCAAAAGACGGCTTCTCTCCACAGTCGAAAGCATCCTGAAGCTCTTTGACGAGGTTGGCTTGTCCGGGCAAACGGAAGAGCCCTTCTTCTCGTAAACCCCAGTGGCGGATGAAGTCCACACACTGCTCCACCAGCATGGGCGCCATCTTGTTGCCATAACGACGTTCATATCGAACCGTCTCTTCCAACTTCTGACCAAAGATTCCTGAAACACAAACCCATAGTTTATAAGGATCAGATACTAAGGTAAGATTTAAAGGGGTCATATGATGCGATTTCAAGTTTTGCTTTCTCTTTGGAGTGTTACAAGCTGATTGTGCATAGATAAGATCCCTGAAGTTGCAAAGACTAAAGTCTCAAAACCAAAGAGATATTCTTTTTCAAAGGTGTGTGTGTGTGTGTGTGTGAGAGAGAGAGAGAGAGAGAGAGGGTCACATCACTGTGGAGTCAGCTGTCTTAACCGTGGCTTGTGTACTGCACACATACCAGCTTCATCACTGTGTCTGTCACGCGACTCTGTTCCCCTTTCGGGCTGTCTTTACATTTATTTTGAAAGATGAAGCTCGCGATTATGGCAAGGGGCGTTACATTTCCGACGAGTGCTTGCGGTGTTCGGTCAATGCACTGGGTCAGCTGGCCAATCAGAGCAGACTGCGCTTGTCGGAAGGAGGGACTTTGTAGAAAACTACATGTTTGAGAGAGGCGGGGCATAGAGGACCTACAATAATGTACAGTATTTGAAAAATAATGTGTTTTTTGAACATTAAAGCATGTCAACATATTCTGTTACACCAAATACACAAAATAATGATCTTTAAAAAAAGCATCATATGACCCCTTTAAGAACAATCTGATGATTCTACACAATAACTTTGAGATACCCCGGCTGAGAAATTGAAATATTTAGATTTATTTTAATTTAATTTGACTTATTAATGGTACAAAATTATAATTATTAATCTTATTGTTGCATTAAATTGACAGACCTAAATTACAAGTGAATATGTTTGGTGGTTATTGTTATCTTTTATATTTTATTGAATATTTTAGGTAGGCTATTGTTATGGAAGGTAAAAAGTCTTGAGCTATCTAACAAATCTTTTAGAGCCTTAAAAAATAGTTTTAACTCAAGTGGAAAGTCCATGTTGAAAAACAATTGCTTCCTCTATTCCTATACATAGACAAAAGTGAGGAGGAGAGCTGCTAAAGAAGCCTGATTTAAGCTATTCTTTCACGTCACGCTCTCTGAGAAGAAAATCACACACTTCCTCTCCTGCCCTGTTCTTTTGTCTGCATCAGTCGGGCTGAAAACAAGCGTGATTCACATGTGGCATGCATATGAGCAGGGATTAGACCAGACTTCCTGGAAGCTTTGGATCGGTGGCGCTTTCCGGGTCTCTGGACACAGACATGTGGTACGAGATGGTACAAATTCAACTAAGCCTAGAATACAGGAAGGGTTTTGCAGCCCTTTCCTGCCTAAGCTGATGGAGAGGGAAAAAAGGTTGGACAGATAAGAGAAACAATATTTCACATTTTCTTTGATTATTCACATTCAAAAGAAAGTCTGACTCACCATGTTTGAAGCTGACGCAACTTTTAATTTTACGGAAGAGACTTCTGTGCATGAAACTGTAGTAAAATAAGGGATGCAAGAAGGTGCATCTAAACTGTCTGCCTCTGAGCATCTTCAAAAATAAATCCAAAGTTGCCTACAATCACACTGCTGCCGGAAAATCATCCAAAATGTTTTTGGCTAGTGATTTTAGAGTTTCCTCCAATCAAAATCTTGGGAAAAAGCTTTGGGAACTTTGAGAAGTTCCATAGCTGGATCACAACTGGACCTCAAAATAATGAAAGAAAAGGATAAATGGTGACCACACAGGTGTGAGACGGTGATCTGGCAAAAAAAAAAAATCAATGTAGACATTCACTTGGCTTCAATTCTTCAATGATTTATGCAGAAGCTCTTGCATGAGTTTCTTGTTTCCCATGGAAAGAGTTTGTGAGGAAAACTTCCAGCCAAACTTGTTTCCAGCCAAACGTAATCTTCTGATGGTTTTCCTCTCCCTTCAGTGAGTTCACCTGGTTTACAATGTGGTTTCTCAAGCCTGGATCTCCTGTAAGTACACTGTTTGAGAATCCTCAGGACTTTAATATCACATTTGGATTGAATTGTTTCTCTCTCCCTGAGTGCAATGGCAGCCAATTAACAACACTGGACACACACTCTTCAACTTCATGCCGTCTTCAAGCTGTCCAGGGCTTTTCTGCTGACCTCACGTATTCACACAGTGCTCTTTGTGCTGCTGCACGGCTCTTATTCTACAAAATATCAAATATGAGGAGCTGGCAGACTGGCTCTACCTGCGAACTATCTTCTCCTCTCATTACAGTCTTGCACCTTTAAGGCCTTCCTGTCTCATCTCAGAGAGGTTGAGGTTGTCTCTTCATTTTTTGATGGTCTTTTCTCAATTCTTCTTATCCCTCGTTACAGTCTTGCATCCTTTGAACTCTTCTCATGCTGTTTCTTTGGTCTTCTCTCCTCTGATCCTCTCTCTTCGTCTCATCTTGTCTCCTTTTCGTCCACAGATTCATCAGATTGCCCTGAAGCCATTCCCTGTATATTCACTGTCCTCTACTCCTGTATGTCTGGAAGCAGAGTCCTTTCCCTCCTTTAAGGAGGTTTGGATTCAAAGGGGAGGAGACGAACTGAACCATCCATGCAAAGCTCAGACCTGACCTGTACTTCATAGCAGAGACTACGACAGGGCCAAAATAGCCCCTCCCCTCCGTCCCCTAAGGTTAGTGCTAAAAAGCTGCTAAGCTCTTAGCTGTGTAATCGTCTGTTGTGGCTGTTCCCAGCCTTCTGCCCTCATTCATGCTGTTCACACCGCCGTGTTTTTGTAGACATTTGAACGGCTGCGCTCGGTACAAAAAGCTCCACAAAAGCTGTGGGCGAATCACTCTGTCTAGAAGGTCTTCCAGTTCATTGGCGAAAAAAATTAAATGCAGAGAGATTGTTTTAATCTTCTTGAAAAAATAAGAATTTTGAATAAATTCTTTGTCTAAACCTTCAGGCCAAAATTAACAACTCAAACAATGAAATGAGTACAGTAAATGTGCATTTAAATGAGCTCTAGAAGTTTTTAATTTAACAAAGATTAGACATGTCAACAGTAGCAAATTATGACTTCATTAAAGGGCCTGTATTAGACTCTCACAGTCAGATGCCACATAGGGACCACAGACTGTAAAACACAAAACTTTGAGTACAAGTCACTTCTTTAACCTGAGAAGATCTAATCTTGATTGCCTGGGTTTATGCAATTTGCGAGAGTTAGGGTATACTGGTTTTTCAGTATACCCATCAGTACTTTATACTTTAGGAAGGACAACAACTGAGATTACAAAATCTATGCATATTAAAACGTTTGGCTACATGATAATGAATAATAGTGTTATTTTAGCATATTACACTAAACTAGTCTATTATAGTATTTATTAATTGAGTTTTTAAATTTTGAGTTATGAAATTTAATTTTTTATTTTACCTTTTAATTTTAAGTAATTTTGTATGTGTATGTATTTTGTCATTTTTAAGTAATTTTGTTATGTGCTTTTGTCATATTTATTAGTTTTTGTTGTTTATATATTTAGATTGAATTTATTTTCATTTCAGTTTTAGTAATTTTAGTGCTTCAACTTAAACTAATTTTATTGAAGTTGCAAAGGCAACATTTCTAATTTTCATTTAAGATTAAGTAAAAAATTGTAATCTAATATTTGTCATTTATTTCATTTCAGCTTAATTTCAATTACCAACAAAATTTTTGCTTCATATATTTAAAAAGTTAACATTTTCTTATTAAATATCTGATATTCATTTTTTTTTCTGATGTAATTCCTGATGCTGAATGTCACATCTATATTGGACAAGGTGATATTTGCCATTATTTTTAAATAAAGCTTGCATTATTGGTCCCACAGGTCACAAGTGAGTTGATAAGAGTTCCTTGTTTAGACAAGGTGAACTTTTTAATGAATATGTGATCTCTCTTGGATCACACTGGAAGTATCAGCTTCAGACAGTCAATACTCCATTAACTACAAAGACGACACTTATATGTCATTGCTGAAAGCTGATAAAGTCTTTGACAGAAGTGTGATCACACTGCAAAATAACAAGTCAAAATCTAATTACGTCTTAAAGTGATTATAAACAACGCCTGCGACCTAATGAATTATCAACCTCGCGCAGCTGCACACACATGCTCAAATCGATTCTGAGACGGAGTTGTCGAAGGTCAAGGAGAAGAGTCTGGAACACACATGCACTGCAACTGGGTGGTCGTGAAACACCACAGAACCCCTACAGTGGGATATTGTATACTGTTTGGTTCAATGACCTTTGACCTATGGAGTAAATCAGCTGACTGTGGTAGGGAATGTCACTTTCACAACTACAAATGTGAACAAAAGATACATTACTGAGGAATCTCAATTCTTTTGGCTGAACCAACTTTTTTGGAATCAGGTTTGTATGCAAACAATGAGATATGAATAGCTTTGTGCACAGAAATACCACACATGGTTGAAACAAATTGCCCATTTGTCAAAATTCAATGAACTAATTGAGTTCACAGAGAAATTTTTAAAGGTTAAGACGGTGTAAGACCGAGATTACAAACCAAGCAAAACAAAAATGCTGACCCTGGACATTACAAATGACTATGTAAAGTAACTTTTGAGTAATTAAATCTTTGGTTTACGAAACTGTGTTTTTCAAGAACAAAATACTTCAAGACAAGCCAAACCCAGCAGATAGAGTTGATGCAACATCATAGGACAAGTTGTAAAATCTACAACATAACTCTCCAAGTTTAATGTCAGTCTGTATCACATGGCTTGGTGCCCTCAAAACTGAGGCTGGACTACATGTGCTTCTTGCTGTGAATGGTTGATTTCTGCCCACACTGAGTGGGATCATATTTTCATCATTGAGTATTTAAATATATGAATAATATATATTGTATATGAACATGAAGGAAGATATAGAAAAAATACAATGGAAGTCAATGGGGACCATCTTATCATTTCAGTTCAGCAGAAGAAAGAAATTCATACAGGTTTGGAACTTTCATTTTTGGGTGAACTATCCATTTAATCTTTTACTTGCCCTAATATTTTAAAGTTGTAATGGGAATCACTGCTGGATAATATAGAGCTGTTAATGTTGCAAGCAGAGGTTTAAATAGTATTAGTCTCCTTTAACTAGTCAGTGTGCAGTACTTATACAGTAATATAATACATAGCAAAGTAAAGGCTGTGCAAGTAAGGCAAAGTTAAACTGTGACCAGTCTGTTTATAACCATTAACCAATGCTGACTTATTCGGGTTGCAGAAGCTCACCTCCTCCAAACGGAGCCCATATCACCCTGCGGATGCTCTTTACCCAATCCTCCATGTCATTCTGTGTGCTGGCCATAAATAGATAAGTCTCATGGTTGGATGTCATTCGCTCCCTGTCGCCCCCTACAGAGAGAAGATTGAAATAATGGTCAGATGTTTGTTGGGTTAATATGTTAACATTTTTTTTAAATACCACCCAAAAACAATAACATTCGACATGAAATATCAAAATATAATATCAAAAGTCATCATTCATGTACACAGTTTCTATTGTGAGGACCAGCTAAATGAAAATATCTTAAGCTTTCATTACTTTTAGTCTGCGAAACTTTCCTTTACAACAGCAATGACAATTAGAGTTATTTGCTCGCTCATAGAAATTTCAGCAAACCACTTGTCAACAACCAATTAGGTCTCGGTCATTAAAGGTGAGTGCCAGAACATGCCTTTGTGTACTAAACCACAATGACACTTCTGAGATCTGTCATTAACCCTTGACTCAAAGCCATTATTTACAAATGTACAGGTGTGTTGACATCTGTGAAGGGTGCTGTGCCTGAGACATCACATGTTTAGTCTGCTGGGGAATGAAGTGTCTGTCTTGATTGTGAGAAGAGCATGCATGGGCCATTTGAGCTGGCTTATGAAATTAAAATGACCACTTTAATGGTAGAAAGTGTTAAATAAAGGCTTTTCACCTTAGGTTTTTTTAAGCAAGTTTTGCACAATTGTAATAAACTATTAAAAATATATGTTAAATATATATATATTTTAAAGTCAGCATTACAATAATGATTATGAGATTTTTTTGCATTATAGCAATGCAAACTTTGATGAAAACAATGCAAAGAAAACCACTAATGACCTAAAAATAGTCTTATGTAAAATATAACTGATGAATTTTGATTGATTTTAAATATTTTATCAAATTAAAATGAAAAACATTTACATAATTTTTTATAAAACATTTTTTTAAATGACCTTTTTTTTGTGGCAGGTTTGAGATTCACCCACTAGAGCATAACATGTCATTCAGACAACTTAAGCTCTGATACCATCAGACCTCTTTGCATTTTAACTGAAACACACACATTCACATTCAAAAAGCAAGAGAAAATCTGATCAATACCAGATACATCAATACCCCTCATCCATATGGAGAGAGATGATTATCAGTCTTTAAAAGCATGTCCGACATGTCCGATGCTTACGCTGAGGCAGAGTTTTAAGAGTTAATGGAGATATGATTAGTATGAAAGACTAAATTATTCATTGTATTCATTAGTGTAGTTCTCTGGGGACTCTGCGCTGTCTTGATCATCGATTTTCATCTGCAACAAGATCAGTTTGGCGGCCATTAAAAATTGATTTATGGACTGTCGAGAAGCAAAGCAGATGGAAATCATTGAAGGAACAACAACAGCAGCAGTGATTCCATCGACTTCTCTACGGCACCCCTCGAAACGGAGCGATTGATCATTCGGAAAAAGCTTTCGTGCACAAACGAGAGTGTTGTGGCCTTTTTTGTCATGGAGACTTGGAGCTACAGCTTACTTGCTTGTCAAATTTGCATTAGTTTCATTTATGAAAAACGACTGTCTGCCTTCAGTTGGGTAGCCAAACAAGGTGTTACATTTACAAACTCTGCCCTGTATTACATGTTCTAGGATTAAAAGTTTGCATACTGGAGCAAAAAACATTTAAGCAAACATAATGTTTTTAGAAAGAAATCCTCCAATAAAAGAGAAAAGCAAGCATTGTGAGCCCATATTTGGACTTTTTGTAGTCATTTAAAATATAGTCAAGGTTTCATGCAGCAAAATTGGCTTATTGCTGTCTCAAATGGTCTGTAGAATTAAATAGGCCTTTTGATACTGTACCTTTAAAAGTTATTACACATGTAAATGGCCTTTGTTATGATACAGTTGGTCATCATGTCACCTATTAAGATGCATTTTCTTGAACTGAAACAACAAACAAAACCATTCAAAGAACATCTGAAAAGTCAACATAACCCATCTCATTACATTTCGGAAACTTGCACTAGTGTTTCGGCATCCACACCTGTTTTACAAATGGAAATGAAGGAGACAAAAGCTGGAATGCTGAGCTGCAGCCCACTGCCTGAGGCTGGAGATGAATGGAGGGTAAGATAACTGAAGTGTCATGGCATATGCACCGACCCGTTCACATAGGAATGCATGCGTGCAACAAAGGGTAGACTCGACAGGGGTCCGGCTTGAGCACAGTTTACAGACCATCTGCTGCGGTCTCATCTTCCTACCGCTTGAGCACATATAACAACACATGCACACTCACACAAGAGGCCTGAACAGACTGTATGATGACCAAGAGGAAGCTAAATGAATCATAAATGAGTCTATCTAGCAGTAAACAATGACTGCTTACCAATTAACACAGCACCTGTTTCAGAGAGAGAGAGAAAGAATGGATGAAAGTGCTAGCCAGTTCAGTGCACGGCTGCTAGAAATGAAAGAACAGATGCTGATAGCCACGGGGAGAGATCTGAAATGACATTTCACACTTCACGTGAAATCATTTGGTCCATTAAAACCCCCGGACATTAAAAAAGTCAATTTCTAAAATTCAATAGCAAGAGCGCATTATTTTAAACCTGAGTTTTAACTCCAATTGGCATTACAGGTACATGTTAATACTGTGTATATATATATATATATATATATATATATATATATATTACAGGTACATGTTAATACTGTGTATATATATATATATATATATATATATATATATATATATATGAAAAATAAGGCATTTTAATGTTTTCACTTGAAAGAAGTCTTATGCTTAAAATACAGAAAAACAGTAATATTGTGAAATGTTTTTACAATTTAAAATAACTATTTTCTATGTGAATGTGTTTTAAAATGTAATTTATTCCTGTGATGCAAAGCTGAATATTTAGCATCATTATTCCAGTCTTCAGTGTCACATCATCCTTCAGAAATCATTCTAATATGCAGATTTGCTGCTCACAAAACATTTATTATTATTTGTTGAAAATGTTGAAAACAGTTGTGCTGCTTAATAGTTTGGTCTTATAGGGATCTTTGATCAATTTGAAGTTCAAAAGAACAGCATTTATTTAAAATAGAAATCTTACCAACATTATAACTGCCTTTTGATCAATTTAATGCATCCTTGCTGAATAAAATATGAATTTCTTAAAGAAAAATCTTACCCCAATCTTTTGAATGGTAGTATAAATCTAAAAAAAAAAAAAAATTACTTTTGGCTAAATGCTTTTATTCACCCGCCTGTATTAAAACTCATGGCGTTATAAAATAATGACATTTAAACAGTAATGTACTATAGTTCATAATCAGAAGACGTACATTATACTTCATATTTGTTTAAACTACTTTTATCATGCTTTTGTTGACATTTTTGGAGTTCAACAACATCCATCCCCATTCACTTTCACTGTATGGATTAAAATGGATTGAAATGGTAAACAAGTGAAAAGAAAGTACAGGTTTCACCACCACAAACCTCAAAATAAGCAGTTCTGCAACAACAAAATTAACAGTTCTGCCTTTAGTTTGGTTCAAAGGGCTGGATGCCATTCACAAAATAAGACTCTCTAATCTAGAATAGCGCCTCACATGGAACCAAAGTACCAAGCAATGGCATGAAAACAAATGCTAGTCTAACTATCCCACATTTCCCTCAAAACAATGTCAGCCTTGCTTCTAATGCCCCATGATTTTCTTTTCAATCATTTTACCCAATAAAACAGCACTAACCAGCACTCTAGTTCACTCTAGAGACCCCTGACCCCACTCTTACTACCCACAGATACTCTAATAGATTACCTTCCTCTCTAAATGAACTTAACGATCTATGACCCATACACTCTCCCCTCCCCTCCATCACCTGGCTGTACATTAACGTTAATGTGGCTCTTTAAGCTAGACTTTTCCCATGAGTATAGATAGAGGTGACCCATTTATGCTATTCTATTATCAGCAACCTTTTCACAAATATAAACAGAAGCTTTGAAGTTCTGAGCTCACCGTCCATCTTTTGGCTTCTCTCTACCTCGCAGCGGGTGAGTGACGAGCTCTCAAGGGTTCATTATGAACCAGCCTTTCACAAGCCTGCTGCCATTGATCCCGGTGCCAGACCAGTTCACATACTCAGGAGACTAACGAGAGCCCTTTGTGCCCGCTGAGCGTTCAACAATCAGCCATCTTCATGACCAGGGCACGGCTGAGCCAGTTAGCAAACCATAATGTGCCAAGCACGATGTCATCGCTGACAGATCTACTCCAGCGGTCTTCAATAAATAAGGCTAATATGCAAATGGGTGAGCTAATTACATTTAAAATAACATCACTACATTACGCTGCCAAATATTGCATCATGCGTGCTTTTTGGTGTGCATGTTTTTCCAGACCCACTGCTTATGCCCTTATGTACATTATGTGTTATACTTGCAAAACAGTATAATAATTTTTAAGGATTTATAAGTTCATTTTGCCCTATATTGCACCAACTAATATGCATGCATGACCTATATGTTTATTGGCACCGTTAAAGGAATAGTTCACCCAAAAATGAAAATTTGCTGAAAATGTACACACCCTCAGGCCATTCAAGATGTAGATGCGTTTGTTTCTTCATCGGAACAGATTTGGAGAAATTGCAGTACATCACTTGCTCACCAGTGGATCATCTGCTGTGAATGGGTGCCGTCAGAATGAGAGTCCAAACAGCTGATAAAAACATCACAATAATCCACAAGTAATCCACATGACTCCAGTCCATCAATTGTCTTGTGAGGTGAAAAGCATGTTAGTAAGAAACAAATCCATCATTAAGGCATTATAACTTTAAAACATTGTTTCTGGCCAAAATATGAATCTATAATCCATAATAAAGCTTCGTACAGTGAAAAAGCCCATCCCCTGTTGTCCTCTCACATCAAAATCCACCAAGATATTTGTTTAGAACTGTTTTGGACTATTTTCGCTCGTAAATGGTTCTTGATCAGTGCATATTCTGATGATCTGACTTTTTCACTGAAGAAAGCAATATTATGTATAGATTTACTCATATTTTAGCAACAGTTTGAAGAT